TTTAATTTAGAATTATGTGTCCACAATGCCTTTATTCAAAAAAAAATATTCATTATCAATAAATTAAATAAGAGAAATAATTTTATTAGTTATATTGTCTTTATTTTTCTTCAATATAAAAATTCTTTATATTCAAATTTATTAATTGATTATATTCGCTACATTGTCCTTACAATGTCTTTATTCAGTGAAAAAAAATTATTAATTATCAATAAATTAATTAAAAGAAATATTTTCATTAGTTATATTGTCTTTATTTTTCTCAAATGTAAAAATTTTTACATTCAAATTCATTAATTGATTATATTCACTACATTATCTATTATCTTTTTTGTGCATTATTTTTCTAATTAAATATCAAAGTTATAATACAAAATAATGCTATATATTTATTTACCAAGTATTTTATTAATACCATGAAAAAATTAAAAAAATATAATTAATAAAGCGAATCATATTAACTACTTGAGAGATTTTGTGACAAAGAGAGTATTCAAATCATACAACAAATTAAAGTGAGAACTACCTCGCAATGTCCTTGTTTGACAATCAGAAGTTAGCGGTTAGCGTTAGCGGATTATACTAGCAGATTTGACCAGCGAATTTATTTAATTATTAACATTGGGTAGAAAAAATGACCGCCAAATTATTAAATCAAATGAATGGTTCATATTGTTCAGGTTTTAATTTTTTTCTTTTAAGATTTTCTATTATCCTTAATTATATGATTATCCATTTAACTTTTCCGTTAATTCACCGTTAGTCTAATTCTAATATTAAAGTCTAATATAGAATTATAACTACACCATTAATCTAATTCTAATATTAAAGTCTTAATAGAACTTAACCACAAATCCTAATGTCGGAATCTCCTCAAACAATATTAGTATATATATTTAATATTTTATGCCCTAATTTTTATTTGTTCTCCCTTATGTCCCATATTTGGTTTCAACTATACCTATACAATTATTTTATTGACAATTATAATCAATTTTGACTATATTATCTTGAATTTGTAAACTTAGAATTACCTATTTAACTCGCACGGGCTTAACAAAAATAAACTTTAAGTACTTTAGAGACCAAGGTTTGAACCTCGGCGGCGGCAATGCGGGAATTATGTCCAAAGTGGGCAGATTCCTTGTGCGTATCAGCATTTGGCCCTGTCTGCTGAACCATTGAGTCACCGTGATTTACAACTTCCCACAATGCTCTGTCAGGTCGGAATGTGGGGGGCCCTTGGGGTTGGAGACTCAACCTTTGGGAGAAGAATTACCTATTTAAATACGCAAATTCAACCTTCAATTATCTATGCATGAACAATTTCAATATAATCCTGCCTTAATATACTTTAAAGTACTTATTTAACAAAAAAGCATTGGGCATTATCCCAATCGCGCAATGCGCGTAAAAAACTAGTATATATATATATAGAGGATTAATATTTGATGCACCGTCGGTGTATAGATGCTATACACCGGCGGTGAATGATGTGATGACACATCATTAAAAACTAAAATCAATACTAATTGAGTCCTTTTATGCAAAATAACTAAGATTTGTATTTTTTAGGAAACTTCGTTTATTTCTAATTAACAAAATATATATACTTTCTTAAACATATTTATTACTTAATTGTTATATATATCTAACTATGTAATTATTATTAATGAAAGATTAATAACCTGTACGTTAATTAACATAATGCATCACATATTAATTCATTAGTTAATTATTGGATTAATCCATTATTAAAAAGTTTGCAAATTATGCCGAGCAATCGTGTGCACCATGCATGGTGCACACGATTGCAAAAACAACGTCGTTTTGATTAAAAACGACGCGTCCGACTTAAAAAGAATTAGTTTTGATTGCCGTTAACGGCGTTATGTTGTGCATAATTTGAACTATATATCCAGAATTAATGAACTATTTATCCAGAATGAATGGACTATATATCCAGAATGGATGAACTATATATTCAGAATAAATGAACTATATAGTTCAAATTATGCACAACATAACGCCGTTAACGGCAATCGAAACTGAATTTTTTTGAACTATATATCCAGAATGAATGAACTATATAGTTCAAATTATGCACAACATAACGCCGTTAACGGCAATCGAAACTGATTTTTTTTTTGTTCAAGTCGGATGTCAAAACGATGTCGTTTTTGCGACCGTGTGCACCATGCATGGTGCACATGATTGCACATTATAACACTCCTAAAAAGTTACAATGTAATACACTCCACACACCAATATCCAATAATTTGACTATTACATAATATTTGATTAAGTGCTGATTTTTTACATTATTGAATATATATTGCAATTTTTTACAAGATATTGTAATTGTTTCTAATAGTAACTAAGGTTGTAATTTAAATTTAGGAGTTTAGGGGTTTAAATAAATTTAGGAGTTATTAATATAGATATAGGAAATTAGATGGTTTTTATTAATTAAAATTAAAGAATTCTTAATTATAAATATAATAATTTAGAAATTTATTTTTAGATATCAATTAGAATTCTTAATTATAATAGTTTGAGTAACGAACCTGTTAATTAACATTATTGTTAATTAGAATTCTTGTACAGGTTAATAAACATTAATGGATTAATTCTGTAATTAAATAATGAATTAATCTAATAATTAAAATAATGAATTAATATGTGATGCATTATGTTAATTAACGTGCAAATTATTAATCTTTCATTAATAATAATTAAATAATTAGATATATATAACAATTAAGTAAGAAATATGTTTAGGAAAATATATATATTTTGTTAATTAAAAATAAAAGAAGTTCACTACAAAATACAAATCTTAGTTATTTTGCATAAAAGAACTCAATTAGTATTGATTTTAGTTTTTAATGATGTGTCATCTCCTCATTCACCGCCGGTGTATAGCATCTATACACCGACGGTGCATCAAATATTAATCCATATATATATATATATATATATATATATATATATATATATATATATATATATATATATAGGGTTGAGTTCAAATGAGGACAACAATATATAGAGGACTGTGAGGACAAATAATGGGCACACAACAAATTTATACCAGGCACACAACTTAATACATAATGGCACACAAAAATAAATGTAAACATCAGGTTTCGAACCCAGGCTCTATAAATTAACAAATCTAGCGCGCGACATACAAACTGTGGCACACGAGTACATTCGGTCATGCACACAACATACCTGCTAATGGCATACACTACATATGTCCTCACAGTCCTCTATAATATACTTGTCCTCATTTGAATACACACACACACACACACACACACATATATATATATATATATATATATATATATATATATATATATATATATATATATATATATATGCATTATAAATTTATATTATAAATATATAAATAAATTAAGTAATCCAATTTTCTTAGCATGCATGCAAACAATTAAACCTCATGATTGATTCCTTCCTTCTTTTTCTTTTTGTACAGGCGTGTGGCTGTACGTGGAAGACATCTTCAAATGCGCAAAACGAGGAACTGGGTGGTGGAGGTTCACCTGAGTTTATTTTAAAGAGTGTATAAATAGTATAAACTTTTCTATTTTAAGTCGTTCATTCTTTCCTCCTCTAAATCATTCTTTAAAGTGTTATCAATGTCCATTCGTGGCTAATTTCTTTAGCTTGGTTTAGTGAATTGAAGCCTCGGATGGGAAAACCTCATGGCGCCTTCGTAATCTATCTCCTGCTCATTTTCCTCGTCTTCCTGCTTCTCGTACTCGTTGTCTTCTTCTTTTTCATATATCTCCTGCGGCGTTATACACTTTAAGGTGGTTCGTAGTTTTAGTATTTAAGTTGCATGGGCATCCCACAGGATCCAACTATCTCTTTGGAGATATATCTTCTGGTACCTTAATGCAGGCTTAACCAGAAGAAATATCTTCAAAGGGGAAGACGGATCATGTGGTTCGTTGAAGTAACTGAAGTACTAAAACCACGCCCTGGATTTGTTGGTGAAGAATAAATCGATGGAGGAGATATATGAAAAAGAAGAAGAAGACAACAACTATGAGGAGGAGGATGACGGGGAAGATGGGCACGAGATAGATTATGAAGAACAAGAAGAAGATAAGGAGGGGGACATTCGTAGCTGTAGTATTTTTTTTTTGTGGTTTTTGTTTAAATGTGTATTTACGTTTACAAACCAACGTAAATTATTATTCCACGCACCGAAGTGTTAATACACAAACCAATGCACATTCTGTTTCCATATTACGCATCTTAAAGTCATATGTCGCGCACGTTAAATGGTTTCCATTTTTTGCTTTTGCTTCAAGTCATTCAATAGTAAAATTAACGCACTTTAAGACATAATTCCACGCAAATTAAATTGTTACTTTGCGCATCCTAAAGGACTAAAATCGATGCACCTTATGGAATTGGCAGTTTAGTTGCAAATTATTTCATACACAAACAAACGCACTTTGAGTTTTGAAATCGTGCACCCTTGACTAATTTATAACGCATCTTAAATTAATATTCGACGAACCAGAGTGATAATACACAAACAGACGCACATTACGTTTCCAGATCACGCATCTTGAAGTCATATGTCGTGAAAATTAAATGGTTAATCGACGTACATTAAGCCTTTAGCATTTACAAATTTTTTCCTTTGGCATTTAAGGAATAAGCCATTCAATAGTAAAACTAACGCATTTAAAGACTTAATTTCACGCACGTTAAGAATTAATTTCACGCACTTTAAACTATTATACCACTCACCTTAATTCAAATCGGTTTCGGGTGAAACAAATCAGTGAAAGAACAAAGTAATGAATGTTAAACATAAAATCAAAGATCTCAAGCAGCAAAATCACGCACCTTTTTCTATTTATTTTCATTCTGACCTGTAAAAATATTTTGTTATGTTTTTTTTACCCTTTTGTTTGTCCTTATTTTTTGGGTTAAGTGGGCAAGTCCTGGTGTCATGTTGATCTCCTCCTCCTACCTTCTTCTTTTTCCATTGCCAACTCCTTGCTGCTTTTGATACGTTTGCCACTGCCCTTGTTCTTTGCATGCTTCAGTGGAAGTATATTGATTTCTGAGATCTCTGTTGATCCGCAAAAGGATTCTATAACAGTCTTCCTGCTATGCTGAGGGGATAACTTTTCTTTTCCTTATATTAGAAGCTATTTTTGTTCATTAATCACTTGCAAAAATGCAGCCAATTGCTCCATGTTTGAATTTGCTAGATCAATACAACAGTGTATATCAACCCAAAGTTTGTTCAGCAACACCTTCTTTTCATCCTTGGGTCCATTTTGATCATAAATGACACCATCAATTTCAAATGTAGCCTTTAAAGATGCATCCTTAGTCCATCGATTAACCACATACTTCAGAGGTATCTTTTCAAGGTCCTTAAAGACCACGAATATGTGTCTACACAATAGTCCAACCATCTCAAACATTTTGCAATTACATGTAGCCTCTTGTTCATTTACATTGTGCACCACACTAAATATTCTATCCCTTCCATCCATAATCTCATAGTGTAATATTCCAGCATCTCCTCTAACACTCAACACCCTATAAGTGAAGTAGGAGACACATATTTCAGCCTGAACTTGATAGAAAACAGTGACGGTATAGACAATTGAAGTATGTTTTTAGATTCCCAACGGTGTCTTCATATCTGGATTGTATCCTTCATTGTCACTGTTGTTTTTTGCATTAGTGTGACTCTGTGAATTAAGAGCACTGTCAAAGTTCATCATAAATTCAACTAGACTAGATTGCAGGCTCGTAAAATGACTATATGTGTAGTTCTCACTTTCAGAACGCGACGTAGTCCTAAGTAGACCTCCCATAAAAACATCCCTAAAATAGGCTGGGATCCAACGGTTTCTTGCCTCAAATATATGGGTAAACCAATTGTGATCAACTAAGTTGAACTTTTCCATGAGCTGTGTCCATTGTGTCTCAAAATCAGCAGGTTTCAAAGAAGATGTCCAAACAATGGAGTTTAGTTTGTTCTTAAACTCCTCATTCTTGCTCAATGTAAGACCAACATTTTCCCCAACTTTGCACATAATGTGCCACATGCAATAACGTTGCCTAGCTTGCTTGAAAACTCTTGGAATTACCACTTTCATAGCCGGATCCTGATCAGTAACAATTATCCTTAGCTCCATACCTATTGCCTTTGTGAGTAATAATGTTAATAATGTTTGTTATTATTATTATTATCTGTAGACAGGAATTAGTCTCCAACTGTTATCCTGATGTATAGGAGTAGTTAGAGTTCTAATCCTGATTGTAACTCTGTCTCGTTGATTGAATCCATTCATTTGTAATCTCATCTGGTATCAGTCCAGGTTACCCTCTCTCTCCAAAATGTCGACGAATTCAAGCGAGCGTACCGTTACTGCCGCTATCACCTCTAATTCGCTGGCAACTCCCACCTCCCTATCATCGGCGCACCACTTTGTGTCGTTGAAACTAACCGCAAGAAACTTTCTCTTTTGGAGAACACAAATGATCCCCTTCCTTCGTGGCCAAGGTTTACTTGGTTATGTGGATGGCGAGCTGCCATGTCCGCCGGCCGTCCTCCCTTCAACCACCACCGGAGATGAAGCCTCCGATGCCACGGTCTCCGCCACCACCCCTAATCCAGCGTATACGTTCTGGATCCAGCAAGACCAAGCGATCTTGTCCCTCCTCGTCTCTTCACTTGCCGACGAGGTGATGTACTTGGCGGTGGGGCGCAATACGTCGCGTGAAGTATGGCTCTCTATAACAGCGGCACTGGGATCATCCACAAGAGCGAGGTGTCTGAAACTCATCGCTCAGTTTCAGACCTTACGCCAAAGTAACAGCACGCCGGTCGAATACCTCGGGAGGGCGCAGTTGATCGTCGAGGATCTAGCCTTGGCCGGACGTCCGATGTCCTTAGACGAACAAAACCTCTATGTGTTCATAGGATTACGCCCCGAATTCCGAGCCATGGCTGCCTCATTAGCCGTCACTGGGACTCTGGTAACCATCCCTCAGTTATCGGATTTTCTGCACACTCAGCAATTCATCTTTGCGGACGATTTTCCGGGGAGTGACGGTGCAGCTGTTGGTTCCCCGACGGCGATGGTGGCGTCCCGAGGTCGCAGGCAGAACAATAATGGAGGCTCTGGCGGTCGGCATCAGTCCAGCAATGGTCAGAATCGTGGCCTGAACAGTGGACGAGGGCGTGGCGGCCAAGGCGGCGGACGTGGTGGTCGGACTCCACGCTGTCAGATATGCCGCAACTACGGGCACATCGCAACCAACTATTACCACCGGTACAGTGGACAGCCGCAGGCTAACATGGTCGTTGCCGGAGATGATGCGACCACCGCCAGCGGTGAAGCCTGGTTCCCCGACACGGGAGCATCCTCGCATGCGACTCCAGATCCGAGCATGATCGCACAATCCGAGCCTTATTCCGGTGGGGATGTCCTCCGTGTGGGCAACAGTACAGGTTTGGGAATTGAACGTGTTGGCCATGCACTTTTACCTTCTGTGTCTAGAAATCTTAAAGTGTCAAATATTCTACATGTTCCCGAATTGTCTGTCCCACTTTTATCTGTCAATCGTTTTGCACTGGATAATAACGTGTATTTTGAATTTCACGCTGATTATTTTGTTGTGAAGGACTCAGCTACCAAAATTCCTCTAATTAAAGGTCCTAGCGTGGGAGGTCTCTACAAGCTGTCAGTTCCTCGGGCACATCTAGCTTACATAAGTGCTCGCGCGTCCTCCAGTGTCTGGCATTGCAGGTTGGGCCACCCGCATTCCCGCGTTCTACAACACATTCTCAAAAGGTATCCGGTCACGTCAAATAAAACGAGTCCCCTCCGGGTTGTGTTCCGCGTGTCAAATGGGCAAGTCGTCACGGTTCCCGTTAGATAGGGTCAATTCTAGTAGTAATAATGTACTAGATCTTTTATATACTGATATTTGGGGCCCATCTCCCATTATCTCTACGGATGGATTTAGATACTTTGTACTCTTTGTGGATGACCACACTCGTTTCAGCTAGTTTTACCCCTTACGGGTGAAATCGGACATTTATAAAGTTTTTCAGTTATTCCGTGTGACGGTAGAACGCCGTTTTTCGCGTTCTATAAAGGCCCTCCAGTCAGATTTAGGCGGTGAGTACCGTCACTTACATTCTCTTTTTGAGTCACTTGGAATCGTGCATAGGCAATCTTGCGCCTACACGCACGAACAAAACGGTAGAGTCGAGCGCCGGAACAGACACATTGTCGAAACCGGGTTGACTCTACTCGCCGAGAGTTCCGTTCCACTAAAATATTGGGATTGGGCTTTTGAAACAGCTACTCACTTAATCAATTGCATGCCCTCTTCTGTTTTAAAATTCAAAAGCCCATACGAATGTCTCTACAATATGTCACCACCATACACTTTCTTTAGAGTCTTTGGGTGTCGGTGTTACCCGCATCTTAGGCCATATAATAGGCATAAGGTCGAGTACCGCTCTGCACCCTGCGTATTCTTAGGATATCCTAAGTCCTTTAGGGGTTACCGGTGCATGGATCTAAACACGGGCAAAACCTATATCTGCCGTCATGTCAGATTTGACGAGGCAATATTTCCTTTTGCAACTAATTTACCTGTGCAGGATCCTGTAAACGCAGAAAATACTACGACACCGTGGGGTTCTGGGCCATTAGTGCCGTCTGTGGCACCCTTGGCATCAGCGGCTCCTTTGGCGCCCGAACCCCCCGAGCCAGTTTCACCACGGTTAGCTCTACCGGGTCCCGCGACCGCACCACCAGCGCGGCGACGGACTGTTCGGGCACGACCGCAAGAACGGGTACACGTCATGAGGTTGCGGCGCATGACCAAGGGTACTAATGAGCCATTCCAGGCTCTCACAGCTTCCCCTGAGCCTACTTGCTATTCTCAAGCTGTGGGCCACCCGGAGTGGCGAGATGCCATGGACCAGGAGTTAAATGCCCTCATGCACAACAACACCTGGTTACTAACTCCGGCGAAACCGGACATGAACATTGTGGGCTGCAAATGGGTGTATTGTACTAAACGAAAAGCCGACGGGACTATTGAACGTCACAGGGCTTGTCTAGTAGCCAAGGGGTTCAACCAGGTTGCTGGTGAGGACTTCTTCGACACCTACAGCCCGGTTGTCAAACCGACCACCGTCCGGGCACACCGCGTGACTTGGGCACACCGGGTTTCTTTCTCGGCATCGAAACCATATCTACTGACGGCGGCCTCTTTTTGTCTCAGTGCCGCTACATGAGTGATATCTTAACCCGTGCAGGAATGGCCGATTGCAAGCCGCTAGCCACTCCTGCATCTATAACTCAATCCGCTGCACCAACAACAGAACCGTTTGATAACCCGACACAGTATCGGCGTCTCCGACTTGTGATGTGCACGCCTACTCGGATTCAGATTGGGCTGGCTGTCCAGTGGATCGGAAGTCAACCAGCGGCTATGCGGTTTTTCTGGGGTCGAATCTCATATCCTGGGTCTCTAGGAAGCAGAAGACTATGGCCCGTTCTTCCACAGAGGCTGAGTACAAGGGGTTAGCTGATGTCGCAGCTGAGGTCACCTGGGTCGTGTCGCTTCTGAAGGAGCTAGGCTTACATGCTGGAACTCCTGCTACACTGTGGTGCGACAATCTCGGAGCAACCTACATGTGCGCCAACCCTGTGTTTCATGCTCGCACCAAGCACGTAGAAATTGATTTCCACTTTGTTCGTGACAAGGTTGCAGCTGGTGATTTTCTGGTGAACTTTGTGTCGACGAAAGACCAGTTAGCGGACATCTTCACCAAACCACTGCCAGCAGCTCGGTTCACCTCGCTACGGTCCAAGTTCAATGTAGTCTCACTACCACCTTGAACTTGAGGGGGTGTGTGAGTAATAATGTTAATAATGTTTGTTATTATTATTATTATTATCTGTAGATAGGAATTAGTCTCCAACTATTATCCTGATGTATAGGAGTAGTTAGAGTTCTAATCCTGATTGTAACTCTGTCTCGTTGATTGAATCCATTCATTCGTAATCTCATCGCCTTTTTAAATTTTTCAAATAGCCAAACATAAGACTCAATGTCCTCTTTCAACAACAGTCCAGCACCAAATTTGATATAACTTTTATGGTTATCAACTCCTGTGAAGGGTGTAAAAACCAGATCGTACCTACAAGCCAAAAAAGACATCATAGTATACATGTGTTAAATTCATGCACTTAAAGCATTAATTTAACGCACATTAAGTTTTAAATTTGCGCACTTATTTCTTGGTGGTTTCAATTCAGAGTGATGCACATTAAGATGCGTGACATTAGTATTTAAGGTGCGTGGTATCAAGGACGAAGGTGCGTTTAGTTATATTATCAATTTTCAAGCACTCAGTGACCATTTCTAAATCTTAAGGTGACTAAACTTACCACGTCAGGTGTGTGGTTCCAATGCCTAAGGTGCGTTGAATATAATATTAATTTCGACAATGTAATGTTTAATGTTAGTTAATTAATGAAACATATGTAAGCATGTTAATAGAGTAATACCTGTTGGTTGAATATGTAGCATCAAAAGAGACAACATCTCCAAATGCAGCATAATTCTTTTTTGAGATTGGATCTACCCAAAATAATCTACTCAACTGCTCATCTTCATCAACATCATAGTCAAAAGCAAACGCGGGGCACGACTCTTGTTTTTTAACAAGATTATGCATGAATATTTGTGCACCAGCACCCAATATGAAGGCTCTGAGATCCCTTCTGACATTTTTAAAGTCCACAACAATTGCCGCAGTTCCAGAGTAATCCCCTACGATTTGTCTATATAAACCATGTGATTTTGATGCCCCAATATTTGCTTTTGCACAATCTGCGATAAATTTATGATGTACAGTAGAGATGTTTCTTTTTCCCTTTAGGAACTATCTTGCAAGAACTGATGACATGCTATGATTATGTTTTTCATTAAATGTCCTAACGTCGTACCCATCACTTCCAATGTACTTAAAAATAAACCTAGCTTTGCAACCAGTTCTGTTTGAAACCCTCCTCCGCTTTGAGTTGGAAGGACCTTCTCCTGCATCTGCATTTGATTTGGAGTGAAATTGTTGATCACCTGAATTCTTAAATCCTTCTCTACT